CCTGTTGGATCTGTAATGATGTGCCTTTCTCACTGCCTGATGGTGGTAACTGTGTCCTCTCTCTCTTTTCCAGATAAGTCCTAGGGATTTATCCAATGTTGCTGATCTTTACAAAGACCAAGTTTTTGCTTCTGATTTTTCTCTGTATTGATTCTCTCTTTTTGATTCCTTTTTTTTTCTGCTCCTATCTGTATTTCTTTCCTTTGGGATTAATTTTATTTTCTTCTATTCTTTTCCTAAAGGGAAACTTGAGACACTGATGTTAGACCTTTTAAATATTTCACTATAAATTTCCCTCTAAGCATTTTTTTTTTGCTGAACTATTATTAAGTGCTCTTTTTGCATGTTTTCCACTTCAGAATATTTTATAATTTCCACGGTGATTTCTTTTTTGACTTCCGTGCTTTTAAGAAACAGGTTATTCTGTTATTTAATTTCCACAGATAAGGATTTCATCCTGTTACTGGTTTCTAGTTTAATTCCATTGTTGCCAGAGAATATAGTTTGTACATTTTCAATTTTTTTTTTGGTTGATCTCTGTTATATGGCATAGAATGTGGTGTACGGTAATGAAAATTCTGTGTGCACTTGAAAACAATGCATCCTACAAGAATAGGGTAGATAGCCCATAAATGTCAGTTCAAGTTGATTGATAGTGGTTTTAAGGGCTTTTATGTGCTTAGGGATTTTCTGCAGACTTGTTTTATCAGTAACTCAGAATGAAGTGTTGTAATCTCTACCTTTAATATTGGATTTTTCTGTTTTCTTTCCAATTCTATCATGACTACTACAGTATGTACTATTACTTTCACATATGTACAGTGAGAGAAACTCATATGTAGGTATGTACTATCACTTTCATGCATGTACAGGTATAGATAGCAGTGAGAGAAACTCACATAAGCAGGTGGCTTGGTCCAAGGGTAGATAGTTAGGTTTGAACTTCGCTGAAAAATTGTCAATCTGTTCCCTATATTGGTTGGGCCACTTGGCACGGCCATCATAGCTGTTTGAAAGCCTGTTTTGTTAACATCCTTGTGATACTTTTGGTTGGATCAAAAATTAGCTCTTAGTGTAGTTTTGTTTTCTTTCTTTTATGAGAGCGTTTGAACATCTTCCCAATGTTTAAAATTTCCTTCACTTTTAACTCTTCTGTCCAAGTCCTCTGTCCATTTCATATAACTTTATTGGTCTTCTTAGAGTTCCCTGAGCTCTTTATGTATTGAGAAGATTGACCCTTTGTGATGTTTTCCCTTTATGTGAATGTGACCTTTCCCTGCATAATGTTTTTTCAAGTTTTATATTGTCAAGTCTGTCAATCTTCAGTGGCTTTAAGATGGCTTTAAAAAGCTTTGACATGGACCTAATGTATGTAGAATTTACCTGTAATGTGCACACATCCCTGGCTCTGCATGAATGGCTAATTTCTTTCAACCTTTTTGGTCCTTGTCTTCGTTATTCAGTGCAGGTGCAACTGTGAGACGTTACAGAGCACCAGTGCTGGGGACCGTGGGCACTGCATATCCAGCGAGGATGTGGCTCTCCCTGTTTTCAGAGCCCGTGGTGTGGAGTAGACAGCTGGGAACAACTCAAGGCCTGCGCTTTACCGAGTGATTCCCGGGCAAGCCATGGCATCTCCCCTTGTCTGTCGGCTGCTCTGAGATGGGGCTTCTCAGGTGCGGGAAGGGCACCTGAGAACAGCCCTCCCCTTCAGCAGGTCTCTGACATTCCTTTCCATCTCCCCATGCATCCTTTCTTCTAGGAGATAACTCCCAGCATTCCTTGGGCAGGAACGCTCACTGCACGTTGTCCAGGCATCATTGTTACACCTAACGTGGCTATCTCGGGGACTAGCTTAGGTGTGGACACTGTTTTATGGACCTGTTAACAAAACTTGCTGCCTTTTATTACACATCAGCAGCTTCTCAGGGCCCACAGGTCTCCCTTGCGGAAGTCAGAAGAGAGATTCACGAGGTGGGGTGTGATTGCCCAGGAAACGAGGGCTTTGAGACTTGAGCAAGGGTCTGCCTGGCATGTGCCTCTGCCTCAGTTGGCCAAGCCTCCCTTGAGCAGTGAGCTGGGAGAGGACTGTCAGAGCCACAGCCTCGCGTCTGGAGGAGGGAAGTTGGCACAACCTCTGCTCCGTGGAGCCTGCCTCGGGTGAGCACCGACTTTCTCCACCTCTAGCCAAGAGCTTTGCAAATGGGGAGAGATCCAACAGAGCCAGGGAGGCTGTGGCCCTGCGTAAAGGAAGTGAGACTTCAGCTGCAGAATTTGGGACTGTACCGCACTTTACTGAACTGACGGCCTTCGTCTCCCAGGCTATGCCGAGTCCCTGGGACCATGTTGATGTGGGATTCCTTAACTGTGCGTCTTAGTTCATTCATAGTTCAGTTATAGATTGGGAGGCTTTTAAGTGGAGGAAAGTAGCTGCTCACAGTTCTGGAGGCTGGGAAGTCCAAGATCAGGACGCAGGCAGATGCCCTGTTCGTACGTGGCGCTTCCTGCTGCATCATTGCGTGGAGGAAGTGACCAGTTAGCTCACAGGGCATCTATTGTAAGTGCTCAGCTCTCCTTCATGAAGGTTCTACCTACATGACCCCCTTCACGGCCCCTGCCTCCTCTGACCGTCACGCTGGGGATCGGGTGTCAACACTTGAGTGTTGGGGCGACACAGCATTCATACTGTCCTGTAATGTGTGCATTATCTTCCAGGTGCCTTCTCCACCGTTAGGCCGCCTCCTTCCACAAAGGGGCAAAACTACAATGCTAATTCTAATGCTTTATTAGGTAGGGTTGCTCTAATGTCAAACTGGATCTTGTTGCACTTGCGCTGTAAACTGGACTGTTCTGGTCTGGCTGAGTTCCCATTTTGTCAAGACATTTTAATCACAAGTTAAACTAGGCTGGTGTGGTGGCGTAGCAGGCTAAGCTTTCATGTGACATGGCATGTTGTGACAGGAAAGGTACTTTCCCGCCATGGTTTTCTACCCCAAAATCCACAACCTCAGCTTCATCATGAAAACACATCAAACAGGCTACCACACCCCTGGCAGACAGTCCTCACACCAGTGAAGGTTTTTGAGAGACAAGAAACCGTCACTTGTGGCGGCGCTGGCATCACGTATGGGTGCTGGTTCGTGTCCCAGCTGCTCCTCTTCTGATCTAGCTCTCTGCTGGGGCCTGGGAAAGTAGTAGAAGATGGCCCAAGTGCTTGGGGCCCTGTACCCACGTGGGAGACCTAGAAGAAGCTCCTGGCTTTGGATTGGCCCCGCTCTGGCTGTTGCAGCCATTTGGGGAGTGAACCAGCAGATGGAAGACCTTTCTCTCTGTTTCTCCCTCCCTCTCTGTCTGTAATTCTACCTCTCAAATAAATAAATCTTTTTTAAAAATAAATAAATCACAAGTTAAACCACAGAGGGGTGGTCTTGGGTGGGCCTGGGGGAATAGCAGGGTCCTTGGTTCCTGCCCTGTGGCCCTCCCCCAAGTTGCTCGTGCCTGCCTTTCTGCCTGCCATTTTCACATGTGGTCTTTTCTGCTGCCTGATCCAACCCCAGACCTTGGGACACAATTAGTTGTCACATCTCCCCAGTGCACAGTCTGTGACGGTTTCTTGTCTCTCAAAGCCTTCCCTGGTGTGAGGACTGTCTGCCAGGGGTGTGGTAGCCTGTTTGATGTGTTTTCATGATGAAGCTAAGGTTGTGGATTTTGGGGTAGAACACCATGAAGGGAAAGTACCTTTCCTGTCGCAACATGCCATGTCACGTCATGTCATGTCATGTCACGTCACATCATGTCCCACCATGCCATGCAGTGTTGTGGAGCACATGGTATCCACATAGCTTATTCATGGTGATGATGATAATCTTGATTTGTTGGCTAAGGTGCTGTCCGCTGGTGTCTCCACTGTGAGGTTACTCTTGGGCCTTTCCATACCTATTCATTCCTTCTGAGTCACCAAGGCCAGTGCTCACTCAAGGGCAGAGAGTGGGATGGCTGATTAAGCCTCCTAGAAGAAGGAGTAGCAAAGAATCGGTGACCATCCATCATGAAGCCCCCAGCATCATTGCTCAGCCTTTTGGGGAGATGCTGTACAGATATCCTGTGGCCAATGAAGTGAACCTGAAGTGGCTTTGTTCAGTCTCAGGCCCAGGGAGAGAGGCTGTCTCTCTCCTCCTAGGCTCTGTCACTAGCTTAGTGACTTCATTAAGATGCATGGCTTAAGGAGCGTTCTGAGCCGCTGCCTATGTATGAAGCTGTGACAGATTTCTCTGGCAGCTGTATTTCGCTATTAGAGAACCTGGAGGTGGTGTCTCATGGGACTGACGCATAGGTGCTTCAGCAGAGGAGTGTGGTAGCCCTGGCGCCACGAGGCAGTGGTGCTCTTTGCATATGTGACTCACTGGCTTGCAAAGGGGAGGTAATAACGTATAGGAAGTGCTAAGATCGCGTCAAGAGCAGGCTATATTTTTAGATGCCGTTTTCTCCACTCGGATGGCTATATTTGAATTCTCAATTAATTGCCTTGTTTGTGTGACTTTAAGGGAAAAAAAAAAAAACCAGTTTTCGGCAGCTCTGGCCATAACTGACCCTGCAACAAATTGAGCTGGCTCTGTATTCAAGGGTTCTCAGGCAGGTGGTGCAACCCCCAAACCCCCAGTCAACTGCTTTGTGAATTATCTGCTGAAAGCCCTGCCTATAAGACCCTGCTTTTAGCATTCTGACCAACTCTGTTACTGATCGGTGACCGGCACTCACTTAGGCAGAGTAGTGGGAAGGTGGAAGGCAGGAAAAGAATTGCATACTGGGTTTCTCAGTGAACCTAAACCTGGAGGATCTTTCCTCATCCCAGTGTCATAGGCAACAACATGCTAAGCGGGCGGCATGCCCCCACCTGGTGGCAGCACACCCAACTGAAGCTGGGGGACAGCTGATGCTCAAGGCAAGGGGTCTGCTGCAGCCCGAGGTGACCTGTTGATATCCGCGACTTTCTCTTCCAGGACGACTTCCTGTTCAGTGTCTCCATTTTAAGCGGGATCCTTTGCAGCATCCTGGCCGTGCTGAAGTTTATGCTGGGGAAGGTTCTCACCAGCAGAGCGCTCATAACAGATGGTGAGTAAGGCTGTGGTGTGGGGTTGAGCTGCCCGGGTCACTGCTGGCTTCCGTGTCCTCCAGAGCAGCTCTGCCGTCGGGAACCCATCCCCCACCACCTGTCCTCTTCCCAAACTGTCGAGTGATTCTCAGGGCTCCCATACCTTTGGCCCTTGGAATTTAATAAACTATTCAGGAGTCACCTCCACCCTGACCTCGTAACAGATGAAGATCTTGACAGCCCAGAGGGCTTTCAGAGTCTTGCTTTTATGGGCATTGTGCCCTGTAGCGAGCTCGTGTCTTTTCTGGGCTCTGTAAATGTTTCCTTTGTGAATTCTCCATGCTCATTTCTGCTCCAGCTACGTGAGACGCTCACCTGGAGTTCAGTGTGCAATTACAGGTGCCCACGTGGGTGAAAAGATTCATGAGTCCTGTGCCTAAAACCCAGGGCCCTGGGAAAGTCCCCGTGGATCAGGGGGAGCTTCGCGTGGGACCTGCGGGACGACAGAAGGGGGTGAACACAGCAAAGTGTGCTTCAGCGCCCAGACTAGCACTGACGCGTCATCAAGAGATCTGCTGGACAGCATCACAGGGCCGTTTTGTTGTTGCTCACTCCTGGGCATGCGCAGAGCTGTGCCGTAGGAGCACAGTGGCAGAGTCAGAAGACTAAAGCTCATAGGTTGGTGGTCGTATCTGCATAAAATAGGGCAGGAAGAATTGGACGTTTTTTAAGAAACACACCCCCCGCTTCCTTGCCCCAAACTGGCAAGTCTGTCTAGTGGCGAATACCTGGGTGCAGAGGCAGGTGGTCTGGGCTCAGGTGGCCAACCGTGCGGAGGGCCCCTCTTGCTCAAGTGATGGAGCGTGCTGACTCGGCGTGGCCTCTGCCCCCTCATCCTCTCCCGTGGTGGTCCCGTGGTACGTGTGGAGCTGAGCTCCGCCCAGCGGGCTGTGGGTCAGGGAGTCGCAGTGATGTAACCACCCTAGAACTGAGCTCAGGCCAGAGAGCCCAGCCATGGAGGTGGGCAAAGCTGTTGGCAGGTGTGCTGGCAGACCTGGGGGAGGGGAGGGCCGGCGGTCCCCTTGTTGCATGGGCTGGCCGTACTTTCCTAGGAGCCACAGTCCCCATGCCTACGTCAGCCCCTCTCTCCCCACTTGTGAGTCTGAAGCGCCATCTCTTGGGGAGGCCCGGGTGCACCCCAGCTGTGCAACACGGCTGACCTCAGCAGAGCTGCACCTGTGCGTGAGCGTGTGGGTGGGGGTGGGGCTTCCTTTGAACATGGCTGCAGAAAGGTGGGGGTGTGTGACCTGTCGCCCTGACTGCAGAACCAGGCCACCCCTAGTTGACCACTTACAGGCTTAGCAATATCAAATTGCTTGTTTGTTAAAAACACGGATTGTGGGCTGGCATTCAGCCTCAGTTAAGGTGCCCATGTCCCCCATTGAGTACCTGGGTTTTAGTCCTGGCTCTAGTCCCCATCCCCGCTTCCTGCTTTTGCAGACTGTGGGAGGCAGCAGGTGGTGACTCAAGTATAGTTGGGTTCAAGACTTGGACTGAGCCCCTGGGCATTTGGGAAGTCCTCTCTCCTTCTCTTGCTCTCTCTTTCTCTCTCTCTCACTAATAATAACCCCCACTCCACCCCCAAGTACCTGCCACAGGTTCCTGGGCCTCAATCCCGAAGATTCTGACTCTGGGGCATTGAGATGGAGCCCAGGCGTGGATGTTCCACTCCAAGGGACCAGGAGCAGCCCCTGCCCCAGAAGGCAGGCCGTGCTGTGCCCAGTGCTCCTGCACAGCGCTGCACCTGCATCTCTGCAGCCCCTTTGTAGGCAGTCACTTCTGTGCTGTTTGTTTCTGCCCTTGCTACATGGAGCTTCTCTCCCTGGGCCCGGGCAGCCCATTTGCAATCAAGACTTTTAAATCACAAAAATTGTTTAAAACAGTAAAAGCATTGACTGCTGGGACTGAGGCCTGCTCTTTAAGGCTCTGCTTTTATTATTATTATTTTTTTAAATGTGGTTTTTGTTTTAAATCACTTATTTGGGTGGTAGTGAAGGAGAGAAGATGAGAATGCTTACGTCTGCTGGTTTATTCCCCAAACGCTACAGACAGGGTCAGGGACCAAAGCTGGTAACTGGGAATCCAGGTCTCCCATGTGGGTGCTGGGAACTCAATTACTGGAGCCACCCCCTGCTGTCTTCTTATTAGCAGGAACCTGGAATTGAAGTGGGAGCCAGGACTTGAACCCAGCTACTCTGACATGGAATGGAAGCGTCTGAATCGCTGGACTTCATGCCTGCCCCTTGCTCTGATTTTGGGCAGCATTCAGGCCTCTCTCTGTGTCGCAGGCAGCCGGGCTCAGGCCCCTGCAATACCCAGGTGACCATTCACCTTGACATTGCCTTCCTCGGCTGGGCTGCAAGCAGGGAGGGTTCTGCTCACACCAGATCCTGGTTTGATGTCACTAGAGCGTGGCGTTGCAGCATCACTGGGTCAGCAGGGTTTTGTACCTGTCTCCCTTGCACCTGTCTCTCTGCCTGGTGCCGTGTGCTCTGGGTCAGGGACAGGCAGCTGCCAGTGCAGGATCAGGTGTCTGTCCTATTGCTGTGCAGCACCCTACCCTTGGCCTCCAAGAGTGGTGCTGCCCCTTGGTTTTATACCCCTCGGATATAAAAGGTAGACTCTTTCTACCAGCGCCAATCCTATGAACTTGAAGTTCAATCCTATGGGAATGCTGTGAGCACACTGAGACTGTAGCCTGGGCAAACCTGGGGGATCTTTCTGACAAAAAATGCTGAAATCCATGCATTTTTTTCATAATCCATATTTGCCATGATCTCTTTGATCACGCCTTGTATGCATGATTTCAGTGTTTTTGCACCAAAAAGGTTTTGATTGCATTTTTCAAAAATATTTCCAAGTACCCTTGTGCCTGGAACACGAGGGGCAGGCACTCCCTGGGGAGGCAGCACCAGGCAGAGCAGTGTTATGGCTCCCAGTGATCATCCCACAGCAGCTGCTGCTCTGCCTACGTCTGGGTAAGCTGTAGGTCTCCGAGCCCTGCCAGCTTGCAGAGGCCTGGCGTCTTCATCCGTTCAGCAGGAACGATGTTCTTGGGGCCAGCACTGCGGTGTAGCAGATAAAGCCACTGCATGAGATGTCAGTGTTCCATATGGGTGCTAGTTCATGTCTCAGCTCCTCCACTTTGGATCCAGCTCCTTGCTAATGGCCTGGGAAAGCAGAAGAAGATGGCCCAAGTACTTAGGCTTCTGCTACCCATGTAGGAGACCAGGATGAAGCTCCTGGCTTTGGCCCAACTGTTGTAGCCATTTGGGAAGTGAACCAAGGATGGAAGACCTCACTCTGTCTCTCCCTCTTTCTCTAACTCTGCCCTTCAAATCAATCAATCTTTTTTACATTTTACATTTTATTTACTTGAAAGGCAGAGTTAGATAGGGAGAGACAGAGATCTTTGATTTGTTGGTTCATTCCCCAAATAGCCACAACAGCCAAGGCTGGGCCCTTCTGAAGCCAGGAGCCAGGAGCTTTATCTGGGTCTCCCAAGTGGGTACAGGGGTCCAAAGACTTGGACCATCTTTTGCTGCTTTCTCAGGTACATTAGGGATCTGGATGGGAAGTGGAACACCTGGGACTGGAACCGGCGCCCACATGGGATGCCAGTGCTGCAGGTGGAGGCTTTACCTGGTATGCCACAGTGCCAGCCTCCAAATAAAATCTTTTAAAAAGCTCCCCAGGATCCTGAATGTGACCCTAGTGATGACACTGGGCCCCCCAGACTCTGCCCATGACCGTGGGGCACAGACCCCCATCTCGTGGAAACAGTGGGCCTCCTGCCTTGGTTGGTGGTTGTTCCTCAGTGTTACAGACATCCCAGAGAGGAAATGTCTACTTAGACTTCACACAGGTAAACAGGAGAACCCACCGGTCATCAGTGGTGGTGGCCAGCTTGCTGCGGTTCTTAGAGTAATTAATTAGAGTTCAGAGAGATAAAATTAAGGATAGTAAAGCAAAGGTTTGTGCAGTCTAAGCGAGGAACGAACGGGCCAGACAAGAGAACACGCGGCCCTCTTCTTCCTGGTTTGGGGCTTCTATCCCAGAAGTATGAGGGGCGTTGCCTGATGACGTAGCCGTGATGCTGGTGACTGGCATTTGTGATTGACATCTGGGAGTTGCATACCTTTGAGCTCTCTGCTTGTGTGGCTGGGCTCCCTTTTTATCAGGACACTTGAACCACAAGTTAAACCACAAAGTGGGCGGCCTTGGGTGGGTCCCAGGTGGGGAGCAGCGTCCTTGGCCTCACCCCTGGAGGAGGGTCTTGTGCCCCTCCCCATTGCTCATGTCTGATTATCTGCCCTGCACTAAATCACTTCTGGCTGTGATTTTCACCCACAAAACTGCTTAGGTGAGCAGCACTGCATCACACCCTTGAACCAGGCCATTAAAGGAAAAGGGGCCATTGCCCCACAGACAGGTGACAAGTGGGGAAGAGCTGTTGTGCTGGCATAAAGAGACCCTCTGGCAGGGTAGAGTAAGGCTGGGGGAACCTGGGGGCCTGAGGCCCCTGAGAAGTAGGCAAGGACAGGTCCCAGAAGCCCTGGCAAGGGTAGGAGTTCGGATATTTTGCCAAATATTTAAAGGGATGGGGCACCATGCATGATGGATTCCACAGAGTCTTCCATTCATCAGTGATGGAGAACAGAGCAGAGGGAGAGAAGAGAGAAACAGGGAGGGGGCCATGGGGAGCCCAGGAAGGGTGGTGCTGGCTTGGACGGGTTGAGGGTAGAAGCAGGAAATGGGGGGGATATTTATGAAATGAACCAGGGCTCAGGAATGAAGGGGCCCTGGGGGTTTGGTGAGAGAGACACAGAAATGTTGCAGGGAGCAGAGGCAGTACCCCATCTCCGGGCTTGGAACTCCTATGGGGCTCTGCTTGGTGTGCACCGCCCTCTCCCGCTAGGTGGAGTGTCAGGGTCAGGGTGAAATCCCCAGCAGTCACTGCAGCCTCGCGCTAATTGTGCCGGCTGTGATCTGGGCTTTGCTCCTTCGCTGATGAGCAGAACTGGCAGTGGTGTGCAATTATCCCCTCCCTACAGGAGCTGGACTTGGCAGGATGTGGGTGGAGGGCCTGTGCAGCGAGTTCCCGGGACTGTACCTGGGCCGGGGCTGAGCCTGCACCTTCTCTCCAAGAGGAAACTGCTTCTGCTGGGCGGCAGGGTGGCCGGTCCCCAAGCTAGTGATGCGTGTTTGGGGTCAGGCTGACTCAGCCAGACCCTCAGCTGCTGGTGTGTGTCCCTGCTACCGGGAAGCGGATCAGCAGGGTGCACAGAGTGGACACCATAGATAAATCTGGTTTGGTTTGGTTGCCATGGCTACTTCTGTGACAGGTGTTTAGTGCTGTTGGGACTGGTCCAAAGCTGGCTTTTATGATTTAAGGTAAAGTGGTTGGGTACAACAACCGAATACCAGAAAATAGGATTCCAGAGGCCCATGGGGCCTGCAGCATGAGTCCAGAACCCCCTACCCATCCCAGGGGGCCTGCTGTGACTGCTCTGTCACTGCTCCCTCCTCTCTCGATGACATCCAGCATCTAAGATGGTTTCTCAGGTGGGTGAAAACCTTGATGCCAATATCCTTCATTGTGTTGCTGTGCCTCACGACACAGACTCCGATCTCGTCACTGTAGCCACACTGGTGGCACCTGTCATTGAGAGGGCCTCGGCCACTGTTTTGTGCCCCTCCATGTCCTGAAACTGATCTCGGAATGTATTCCTGGAAACAGCCCTCTGGTTTTCACCAAGGAGACAGGGCAAAGCTTGTGGGGACGGGACCAGAGAGGTGAGTGACGGGCAGAGTCTGTGGGTGTGGCTTGGAGCTCAGGAGTGACCCTGGCTGCAAAGGCACCCAAATTCTTTTTTTAAAAAAAGATTTATTTATTCATTTGAAAGTCAGAGTTACAGAGAGAGAGGAGAAGCAGAGAGAGAGAGAGGTCTTTCATCTGCTGGTTCACTCCTCAATTGACCGCAATGGCCAGAGCTGTGCTGATCTGGAGCCAGGAGCTTCTTTCGGGTCTCCCATGTGGGTGCAAGGACCCAAGGACTCGAGCCATCTTCTACTGCTTTCCCAGGCCGCAGCAGAGAGCTGGATCAGAAGTGGAGCAGCCAGGACTTGAACCGGCACCTACATGGGATGCCGGCATTGCAGGCACTGCAGGCGGCTTTAGTTGCTGCACCACATCGATGGCCCCAGAAGCACCTAAATTCTGCAGGAGGCAGTGGGGTGGACGAGGGTGTGTTTCCCTGTCCTTGCGTGCGTGTTCAGTGCTGCTGAGAGGACTTGGGCTCTGTCATCACGAGAGAGGGGGCCAGCACAGGGGGTAAGAGCTTCTGGGAAATGCAGGCGAAGGAGGGGGTGTGGCACAAATCCGTCCACCCTGAGCCACCGGAGGAGTGCTTCACTGTCAGGCTCCTGGTGGGCTTTGCGCTGCCTAGCAGAGCAGGTGGCTTGGTGGAGCCAAGAGGACATCTAGTGGTGGTGTGGGGAACCTCACCCTTCCTCTGCAACTTGGAGGAGCCTGGGAGAGAGGGGACTCTGTGGACAGTCCTGCTAAGGCCATGCCCAGGCCTGCCCTTCTTTTCCTCCATCTGTTCATTCGTTCATTAATAGAGGGCTCATGTGTTCATGATAAATGCCAGGCTCCATGCTGGGACTGAAAACAGGAAGGAAAGGGACAGCATTCCTGTCCTCAGGCTCAGGTTCCTAGTGGCGTAGAGATAAGGCAAAAGACAAAAGGTACAAAGGGCATAGTGGTGCCCAGGGAGCTGGGGAGAAAAGGAAGCAGTGGGGAGGAGGAGGAGATGAGCTGGTGCAGCAGCTGGCGGGGGCATGCTTTCGGGGGCGGAGTGGTCAAGGCCTGGGGGTGGGGTGGTTGGTTCCCTGGGCAGAGGGAGGCAGTGTGGCTGCTGGAGTAAGCGCAGCGGAGTGGGGGCGACCTTGAGAATTCCAAGTAGTGGCGGGCGGTTACTCTGAGGAGGGTTTTGGCTGTGGCCCACTTGCCGAGGGCACCTCTGGCTGCGTGGCCTGGTGAGATGCGGGCAGGGGGTGGAGGTGCGGCAGAGGTCCATGCTGGAGCGGGGCCGTGAGAGGGAGAGAGGCTGAGCACGTGTGTTGGAGGTTGCGGGTGGCAGTTAGGTGCGAGAGAAGCCCAGGGCAGGCATCGTGACTCCTGGCCTAGGCAGGTGGGGGGGGGGGTTGGCACCATCCCTAGACGAGGTGGCCAGAGCGTGAGGGTGGGGGCTGGAGTCAGGATTTCAGATCTGTGCGTGTTCTGCTTGAGAGTCTTAGGTAAGTGAGGTTGCAGGTGGAAGGGAATGGTCGGGACAAGAGGTAGAAATGGGGAACCCTGGGTTCATGGACTGGGAGGAGTAGAGAAGGGGGTGCTATAGCTGCCTTGGGCCCAGCCACTCCCTTGTGCACCAGCTGAGCCTGTGTTGGCACAAGCTCTGCCACCCTCACCACAGGCCACCAGTGTGGGGCCGCCAGATCTTGGACTTGAACTTCCACACCTGTGAGGTCATTAAGCCTTTTCTTCTTGTACTTTCTCAGCTATTTTGTTACAGTGATGGAAAGCTAACCGCTATGCTGGGAGAATTCAGAGGTGGAAGCCCAGGGCTGAGGGTCCAGCAAAGGCAGCTGAGACGGAAGCGGTAGCCAGCAGAGGAAAGGCAGGACCGAGCGAGGCTGGGGAGCTCGGGAGGAGGGCGAATGATCGGGTTTCATGTGGCCATGTGGAGTTATGGTGACCTCAGGAAAGCCCCCCACAGTGCTGGGGCAGGCACACCCTGGGGCTCACTCTGCAGGGAGAACCCAGAAGGCCCACTACGCCCTACCCTTCCTGTGGGGCCCCCCGGGCACTTGCAGGTAAAGTGGAAGAGACGTGCAGCTGTGGGGAGCAGAGGAGGTGCCACGGGAGAGGAGGTGGTTGTTGCTGCCGGTTACCTCCACTTCTCCGACCATGGAGATGCTTCCAGACTTCTCTTCTGGATAGAGTGGAAACCTCTGGAGGGCAGGGCTGGGGCATCAGGCCGAATCCGAGCTCTGCCCCTCACAGTTGGGCTGACTTTGGTGGGTCCTTGTGACCTCACCTCCCTTAGTTTTCTCGGCAGGATGGGGTCTGCCTCCCTTATCAGTGGGGGGGATGTTACAAGGGCTTCTAGCAGATTCAAAGACCATGGTTAGTACGGAACCTTATGTGTGGGCATTTTGCTTTACTTATAAACCTATGAAAGTTTAGTTTAAAAACTGGCCCAGTAAGAGATCACAGTGATAGAACAGAACAATTATTAGGGCTATTTTTAAGTAACAGAAGATGACTTGAACGCAAACCCTGCCATGGCCCGGTAGTCGACCGAATAACTGAGATAGCTGCTCACTCACACACAGGAGGGTAGCACATACAGCCTGGATACACGCAGCAGGGCCCTGTGGGATTTCCTGGAGCTACTCAGTGTGGCATGCAACTTACAACATGTGAATTGTGTACTTCTGGAACTTTCTATTCAGTACTTGTGGTCCTTGATTGAAACTGCAGAAAGTGGAACAGGATCATTGGGGACCCCGGTGTATGACAGTACATCTTGAGCACCCAGTTTAGCCCACGGCCCCATGGACAGTCTGCAGATTTGAATCACCAACGATCTCACACCATCTGCAGTGTGCTAGGTACTCTTGTGTGCACTGTGGATCCCAGCAGGAGCCTCACCTCACCCCTGCTGTCATGCAGGCATGAGTGCGTGGAAGAGAAATTAAGCAGGGTCAGGGCTGGAGCCGTGTACAGAGTGGGCGAGTGCCGTGGGTGTCTCGGGTAGTGGCTCTCACCCGTGAGGGAGCTTCTTGGCCACATTCTGTTCACGGGGTGAATATGGGGCACGCCTGGGCTTCGGGCAGTTTTCTCAGTGGCTAAGCCCGAGCCCCCTCTGCTTCCTCTGCAGGCTTTAACTCCCTCGTGGGCGGCGTGATGGGCTTCTCCATTCTCCTGAGCGCGGAGGTGTTCAAGCACAACGCCAAGGTCTGGTACCTGGACGGCAGCATTGGGGTGCTGATCGGCCTCACCATATTTGCCTACGGGGTCAAGTACGTTCCTGCTCTCACCTTGGCTTTCCTTGCAGCGTGCGGGCCTGTTCCCCATGTCCCCAGCCAGGCAATGACAGAGCAGGATCCTGCCAGTCCCATCTGGACCTGACACCTGTCAGGTGACTGAAGTTGTCCCTGGTGAGGATCAGATAGTGTGGGGGCTGCCCCAAAGTGAGACAGCGCCTTTGAAAAGAGGTTGAGGGCTTTTAAGCCGCCCGGCTTACTTTTGTCTGGTATCTTCATAGTCCACTGTCTGATGCTCCCGCCTATCCTCCATAAGCTGCAGGTGGATGCTCCTAATTCTGTCTGGCGGGGGCCTCACGATGCCCCAAGAGGACATTTTCACCTGGTGTCCTTACCTGTACAGCCCTTTTTTGGCACCTGTTGCATGCACATCATCGTATAGTGGCAGCTGAGCGCCACTCGGCCAAGGCAGGGCCACAGGCCTCAGTTCCCTTTGTGCAAGGTTCTCCCTCAATGCAGACAGGCCACGTGGAGAGGAAGCTGGAGCCTCTTCTCAGTGTGCACGAGGACAGCCCTGGCTCGGGATCCACCCTGTGGGCTGCAGGCAGCCTTCCAGAGAACTGTTTGTAAAAGGTGCAGTGTGAACACTCCCAGGCACCCGCTGCTGCAGGGTGACTGTGGCCAAAAAGAGGGGACAGTGACAATGGTGAGGATGTGGCTCCCTCCTCCATGGCTGGTGAGAACACACAGGGGTTCTGCTGCCTGTACCAAGGCTGTGACACTTCCTCGACGTGTTAGCTGTGCAGGTGCCCTTTGCCCCAGCGGTTCCACTCCCTGTTTGGCCCTCCAGAGGAGTGAGACCCACAGCCACCCCAAAGCTTGGACCTGAGTGTCAGTGGCAGCATTACTCCCAGTAGGCCCAGGGGGAAGCCACCAATCGTCCACCGACTGACGGGTGCATAGAAGGGCTGGATCCCGCCAGGGGGCTATTACTCCGCCATCAAAAGGAACGGAGTCCTTAGGCATGTTCCCGTGGGACTGAGCCTCAGCCATGAGGCCAGTCACAGCAGGCTGCGTCTTGCGCGAATCCACTTCCGTGAGATACCCACAGGTTGTTGATGGATTGCTGGTGGCCGGGGGAAAGGAGAGCGGGGTAAAGGCCCAGTGACTGCCCGTGGGCGTAGGGTTTCTTTAGGGGACGATACAAGTGTTCTGGAATGAAGATGGGGGCAAAGTACATGAATGCCTGAAAAGAATTGTACACTTAGGAAAATGTGGAATTATACTATGGTGATCATGGTATATGCATTAGGCTAGAAACGGCAGCTCCCTCCATGCCTTCCCAAGCCCTCAAGCTGCAGGGCCGTGTGAGGTGACCTTGGCCTTGTCTCTCTCACCCCATGCAGACTCCTCATCGACATGGTGCCGAGGGTGAGGCAGACGCGGCACTACGAGATGTTCGAGTAAAGGCGGACGCTGTGCGGGAAGACGGTCACGCGCCGTGGCGGCGTCCACGCAGGCAGATGGTGCCACTGTGGAACAACACATCGTTTCTGTTTTGGAAGTCTTCTCTCATCCGGTTTGTCATCACGGGTCACGATCTGCCCCTCACTCCGCTGCCCCATCAGACACACCCCTAGGAAGGGACGCACTTCCTGCACCGCAGCCAGCAGCGGCCGAGCCTGGTTTCTGGAGTCAGGTGGTTCTCGTGGGTAAGATCGGATGTGTCTCTGGCCACCAGAAAGGTCTCCCGTGGTGCTCTCGCCTGACGTGGATGGGTGCGGCCCGGGCCCACCGCCTCGGGGCCGGCTGTGGCCCCAGGCACACCAGGGTCCCGCAGGCTCTGCAATGTGGCAGGCGTGAGGGGAAGATGTCCCCTTGTGTCTCTCCCAGCCCAGAACCATCCGTATGTCACTCCCTCCTTTCTATCAACACATTGCATTAGTTTCATACTGTTTTACTAATCCTCAGTCTAAACCGACGGTTTGTTCCAAAGGAGACCGTTCTGTTTTTTAAAGTACGTAGTGATCCACGTATGAGCTTTGCATGGACGCGCTAAATAAGCACACGACCCTGAACATCCCTGTATAAACAGGCCCCATTTCGGAGAGATGTGAAAGTACAGTTTATTTGTAATAAATGACATAGTCTATCTGTATCTGCCTGCGTCTGTGAGCTGTGGTAAATGGCGCTCGTCGACGACCGTCTAAGCCAGTGCACGCCTCTGAGGACCCGCTCTCAGTGATGTGATGGGCGTTGGCTCGCTCTCAGCACTGCCTAGCCAGGCAGCAGTGTCCGAACAATAAAGATCTTGACCTGTTTGGTATGGGACAGGGAGGTCATCTTTGAGGGGTGTCACTGTCGCCAGCAGGAAGCGCCTGGGTCCGCCTGGCTGAGCCCTGGCCATTGTGGCCATCCGGGTGGGGAGTGAATGAGCAGAGGATGCGGTCTCTAAATCTTTTAAAATAAAAAGCTTTTTCATTTTATTTGAGAGACAGATGAGCCATCCAGTGGTTCCCCCAATGCCTGTAATAGCCAGGGCAGGGCCAGGATCTTACTCCTGGCTTCATACATGGGTGGCTTGTGCCATCACCACTGCCTCCTAGGGTGCACATTAGTGAGAAGCAGAGGCAGGACTGAAATGTACACACTGTCGTGCAGGGGCGAGGGAATAGCAACTGACTTCACCGTCATGCCCAATGCCTGTGCTCGAGTAAACATTTGTCCACTTCCTTTGTCCTGAGCTTCCTGAAAGGCCCAGAGGCGACACTCCGCTGCTCAGCCCTGCCACGCCACCTTTTCTCACGCCTAGCAGGGCCCAGCCATCACCTGTAGGCAAGCCCCCGGCTCCCAAGGCTTCTGTGTAACCCTGTGCTCCGGGCCCCACTGTTCCCTGGTTCAGCCCCTTCTAGGGGAAGGTAGGACAGGAAGTGCGCTCTATCGGGATTGGTGGTGTGCATTTCCCACCGTGCATGCAGCCCCCCACAAATCACTTCCACCTGTCACACAAGAAAAGTTTATTGAAAAATAAAGTTCTCCCTAGTTTTCTCTACAACAGTGGAAAACAAAGCAGTGCTCTCTAGGCCAGTACAGTACGTTTGGACAGTGACACCTTATTTGCAGAATCCTGCACTACTTAAACCCCAGAAGTGAACTGTAGAAAATGGTTGTAACAGGATTGGTTTAAAGACGCTGATGCAAACGGCCATTAGCTTAAAGACATGGAGGCTGGGACAGCAACTACAGCGGAAGGAACTTCACCATCTCCTTTGGCATCAATTTCATGCTGTCATTGTGGTAATTCCTGGGGAAGACAGTCACCAAAATGCTTCCCGAGCTTTGGCGGGTGGGACAGGCTCTGCTCACCTTCCGGACCTGCTGTCCCAGCGAGCTGTGTAGGCCTCCAGCTCTGTGGATGCCCTTGGAGTAGCCCCTGCCGTCCACAGACCACGGCTCCATCCACTACACAAACACGTGGCCTCCGGCTGGGCAAGTCGGGGGTGTGGGTCTGGTGGGGTGGAGGGCAGGCATGACACCCACAGAGCAAGCATGCTGCCCCTCAGGTGAAGAGCAGACCCAGGGATCTGGAGAGGACGCTGGCTCCGGCCAGTCTCCCCTAGTTCATGATGATGGTCCAGACAGGGCAGGAAATGAACTTCAACTACACCGGTGAGGAAGGGGCAACATCCCCAAGAAAACAAAACGCCAAGGGGATTTGGGCAAACCACATTACACCAGGAGCAGCCCCTGGGTCCGGATCGGAACAAGACCACATCCCTGCTCCAGTTCCTCGGCTGGCTCTCTCTGGGACCAGGCCCAGGAATTAACCTGGAATCCCATGGAAACAGGCGAGCGCTAACCAGCCTAGCAGTCTGATCCTTAAGGACCAGAGGGGCCACCCCGGCCAGCAGGGGGCAGCAAAGGGGCCTCCTGGGGAATGTGCAGGATCCATTGGTCATCCCTTCCCCTAAACACCACAGAAAAGCCTGTTATTGCATTTTGTAGGAAAAGAGTTACACATGATTCAAGGGGTACAATTTATAGCTCAATGTTCCTCAAATCCCATGGAATGTTCCAGAAAGCAGGAGTGGGCTGAGGTCTAGGAGGTGGCCAAAGCTCATCCTTAACTGTTCTCAGCTCCAGTTGATAATTTTCGCTGGGGCTGAAGTCTGGCACATTTTCTGATCTGTGCCTTCAGGGGCACAGAAAAATCCCAACCGGCAGGGCAGCTGCAGAGCTTGGCCACTCTATACCAGGGACGCCTACGACATTCAACTTGGAATAGTAATTCCACATTGGGCTTGAGTTAACAATACAGTGAGCTCAGCTCCGTATTTCTCAAGTTTTAGGAAAGGCTACTAACAATATTTACGACTTACTATGTGCGAGGCACTGGGCTAAACACTGAATCCTTACAGAACCCTAAGTGCTAAGAAGCTAGGGTGATTTTTCTCTCTTAATGCATCTGAGACTATACAGCTAATTTGGGCTTTTGCTATAAAAACTTTTTGTTGAGGCCAACGATTCTTTACACCTTCTCAGCCTCCTTCATGAGCACGAAGCTACTGCGGTAGCCCCACAGGCATGGCTGGGATTAGAATAAAGCCAATGTGGACATTAAAATATTTTTAAATAAATAAAATCAATCCAGGCTTGGGATAGTAAGACATACAACAGAGCCTGTCGTTAACAAAATATACTTTTTAAAATCAAGACTTAGGGGGCGGGGACGTGGGAGAGGGTGGCAGTGTTTAATGACATACACAGCCGAGGTAAACTACCTTGGGCTGGTCCCGAAAGCCCACACTCGCCTGGGACCACCACCCTGAATCGGCTCCATGCATCACACAGCTACCACAGTGTCATGCTGGGGCTCTGCTCCCAAACAGGAATCTCATTATTCTCTTTCATGAAGTCTTGCATTCACTGAGAAACCAAAAAGCAGACGCAGACCCTGGGGCCTCGTACCCATCAGTGCTGCCCTCACGTGAGGCTGGCCTTCCCACCTGGCCATACCACAGCAAGTGTGGGGGCAGAGGGAATTCAGGCCGTCTGCACAGCCCCAACCAGTGGTCCCGAGGCAACCCAGAGGTGTGGCCACGCAGTCCAGGAGGGCGCAGCCTGGGCTCCGGCCAGCCAGCCCTTTGCTTGGGGTCTGCACAGCCTCCCACTGCCTCTGGGGGTAGATTCGAATGTTCACACGCACATGCTCTGTGGCACTGCCCACCCCAGCATCTACAGGGACCCATAGACCTGCCCTGCCTGCCTCCCAACAGCACACAGATGCCAAAACCCAATCCCAAAGAAAAGTAAGAAGGCACATCAGGAAAAAAAACCCCGCCAAGGAGCCGTCCCTGACAGCTCCAAACACAGGGCCAACACAAAAAGCAAACGAGAACAAGAAGCAGGGACAAAAACGCAATCCAAGCAAAGACGCCCACAGCGGCTCCAGCTGTCCGTGTGCAAACGGGAAGGAAAGGAGGTGGTGACTGCCTTCCAAGACGCGAGTCTCCCCTCTGAGGAGCCTCGCTCCTAGCCACGCTGTCTCCCTCTCACTAAGTTAGAGACACGTTTCCCCCACTTTAACAGCTTAAGCTCACAAAAAGCAGGGAATATAACCCAAAGACCAGGCAAGACATGATCACAGCACGAGAAGACATTATCCCAGTGGAACTCTTCTCCCTAGGGAACCGTCAGCACCCACACACTGGTTGAAGATCCTCTTAGGACTGGCAAGAAGAAAAGGGCTGCGGGCTCCCAGCCCACACTCTCCTTTCCACGCAGGGCAAATGTTAGCCCCCTCCCCAATTTCCTTTCAGGGGTCACCAGCCAGATCTAGGTCAAGTCTGAGGGGGCCTGGGAGCCGGCGTACATTCTGGGGTCACTGAATCTATGGATAATGCCCTTGACAACTGGAGTGCGGGTTTACCCCCAGCAGTAGCTGCCCCACTTGCAGACAGTCCTGGGCAGGGGAAGGGACGTGGAGAGTGAGAGGGAATTTTAAATGGGACAAAGTGCTCTTCCCGGCTGCCTGACCGACCCCAGGGACTTGGAGAAAAGGACCTGGAAGGTGCAGAAGCCCTGGGCTCCAGGACAGCCAGCAGATGAGCCCTGCAGCTACTGCAAGTAGGGACGGAGCTGCCCTCCAACAGCCTGGCTTTCCCCGTTCCTGTGCTGGCTGAAACAGGTCTCTTGCCTAAGGTGTCTATGGAAGGGATCACATGTAGCCTGCAGGCTCCCCCTGCTGGATGAATGCCTGCACTGACATCCTGTTAGAAGCTTCCAGAAGAGCCCGGGAGAGGGCAGTGGTGGCCCAGGATTTGCAGGTCTGGCAGCTCACGCCAATTCTTACCATAGGATGCAGCCAAGAGGCCTTTGCTTACAGGGGGAGGGTGTCCGTTGTCTCCCTTCCCACTGCGGGACACTGTGCAGTGTTTAAGTAGCACCCCCACATAGACACACCCTGTCACCAACGAGGTCTCCTTTGCCCTTCTCAGCCAGAACTCGGGACCCCTGTACAGTACTCTCCCTGGAAGGTTGGCTCAGGGGCCATGTGAGCCTGGGGGGTGGCGGGGAGCAGACCCCAGCTACCTGCCCTACACCTTCACCATTTTCTCCACTGAAGGTGCATTTCAGACCCACTGTGCAGAGATGTGAGGGCCTACTTGGTGCTGTTCATGCACTGGGACAGAAACCAAGCAGCAGGCAGAATCTGCCCCATGGTCCTGGCAGAGGCTGCCCGAGACGGCAGGCAGGGGCCCCAGACTGCCAGCAAGGGCAGGATGGGTGATGTTGCGGCTCTGGTCAGGGACTCGCCTATGCCACAGGGGAGACAGCAGGAGCTGCACAGAAACACAGAGGTGTACACAAGCCAGCCCGGCAAGCAGGGTTTCAGCGGGGTGTGCCTGGACACAAAGGCAGGGCACAGCAGCTCCAGGGTCTGCAAGGTGGGGTCTTAGGTCTCAGGGGATCAGGCCAACCTGCAGCGCTTCTCCACGCTGCTGCTCGCTGCCTGCAGCATGACCACGCCTGGAGGAGGAGCCAGCGGCTGACTCCCACGCCTCGCAAGCTGCACCCACAGACCAGCAGTCAGCACAGCGCACCGAGTTCATCCTGAGCGAGCCCCTGCTCCCCAAGCAAACATCCATTCCTGGACTTGGGTGACCTGACGCAAGCCGGCCAGCCAGGAGCCCAGCTCCAGTGGTGCTACCAGTTCCAAATGCGCGACTCCACTCCCATGCCTCACAGCTCAGACTGCACTCTCTGGGGGGCCTGAGAGCCAGCCTTCCAGCTCCAAGAGCGGCTCTGAGGCCTGCAACTCTCCTGCCCTCCACCTGGTGGCCTGCAGTGGGAGGGCAAGCGTACCACAAGCTAATCAAGGAACCCCCCCTCCCCCCATCCTGCATTTCCCTACTAAAGGGAGTCTAATGAGAAACGGCAACGGGGGTTGGTGCAGAGGGGCAGGGGACACAGAGGAAAGCAGCCCTGTCCTTGGTCCCTTGGGTGGGCTCTCTGGGTAACACGGTCAGGTGCCCCCACGCCAATGGGGGTACCTGTGCTCCAGCTGCCGTGTGCAGGATCTGCGCCCTGGGCAGCCTGGTGGTCCCTGATGCAAGAATTCCTCTTGCTGGCCACGGCTGCTCTGAGAAGCCTGCCCCACGGCATAGCCCGCGTCAGCTTCCTGTACCCCGCAGAAGCAGGCAGATGACAGTAGTGTAAAAGTGACGATTAACAGTGGGAAGTAACAGAAGAAACGTGTCCTGGGTCCCGGCGCCCTCCCCGCTGCCCCTCCCACCCGCCCGCCCAAATAAATAAGTTAATGGGTTTAGGAATAGGACAAAAGTTCTTTCCAGTCGGCTCCATTCTTCCTCTTTCATTTGAAACCAATCTTGAGGCTTTCTCTTTACCCTGGGGCAGCTGCACCGACAGTCCCCCCCAGCAGGTGCTCCACGAGAAATAGAAACGGGGTGTTCATTGTACAGGGATCAGCCAGGCTCCCGGCCGGGCCACTGCTCTCCCGTTCTGTTTCGGTGGAAAACTCCTCTGGGCTGCTCCGTCCCTAGCAGGGGCAAAACCCAATCGAAACCTTTGACGGAAAAGTTCAGGCTCTGGCCAGAGTCCCTGAATGACTTGGGCCCCCCAGCCCCGCCCACAATGGGGCCAGTGCGGCCGCTTTCCCCACAGGATGAGCACAGGCCGAACCAGTGGCCGCTATAGACAGTCTTTACACAGCGCCACCTGGCCCTTGATGAAGTCCCGGCAGGGGCAGATCCTCTGGTGCCTGGGGTGGGCGCCCGCGCAGCTGAAGAGCAACAGATCCCCCTGGAACACACAGTGCTTGTTCTTGGGGTCGAAGGACGGCACCAGGATATCCTTGGCCAGTTCTGAGCTTTGGCAGCTCACCTCGTACCTGAAGAGGAAGAGAGAGAGGCACATCGGTTGGAGACGCAGGGGACAGAACCTGCCCTTGTCACCGGCCGCACCCCGACAGCCAGCCTGCTGAGGTTTGGATAGCACAGTTCTCCAGCTGTAGGAAGGAAATGGGACCCTCCCTGGACCCCCTGATTCTCCATCTCTAGGGATCTGGTCCTGAGAAACATGTGTGGGCCAGATGCATGCAGGGCGGGGCTGTGTTCAGGTTAGCGTCATCTGCAATGGGAAAAACAGAGACAACCTGCACTCTCCCAAGTGGGGAACTGCTCACAAATTAGGACCCCTCTGTGCCTTCGGAGTTGCAGGCAGCCGATGAAAAAGAACGAGCGAGATACACATGCAGGAGCATGCGCAACAGCTGTCCCTGAGGAAGCTCAAGGGACAAGACGCACAGGGCAGTCAGCCTGGCGTGTGCCTGTGTGTGAGTGTGAGTGCAGGCAGTTGAGAAAGCATTAGCAATGGCTGCCTCCTTGAAAAGGCTTTAAAACAACTCCTATTAGGGGTGGCACTGTAGCATAGTGGATAAAGCTGCCGCCTGCAGTGCCAGCATCCCATATGGGTGCTGGTTCAAGTCCTGGCTGCTCCACTTCCAATCCAGCTCCCTGCTAATGCACCTGGGAAAACAGCAGAAGGTGGTTCAAGTCCTTGGGCCCCTGCACCCACGCGGGAGACCCGGAAGAAGCTCCTGGCTTTGGATCCGCCCAGCTCTGGCCATTGTGGCCATTTGGGGAGTGAACTAGTGGATGCAAGACTTTCTCTCTCTCACTCTGCCTTTGCCTCTCTGTAGTTCTGCTTTTCAAATAAATGAAATAAATATTTAAAAAGTAAAATAAAAGAGACTCCTATTATACAAGGAGACTCCAAAATGTTTGTGAAAAGTAGAAGCAAAAGATGTTTATTTTGGTGCAAACCATTGAAATCCATGCACACAAGGTGTTTGCAACATGGTCATGTGGGCATTTGGCACAGTGCTTGAGACACTGGCTTTTGTCTTTGGTTCAAGTCCCAGCTCCACTCCCAACTCCAGCTTCCTACTAATGTGCTCCTGAGAGGCAGCACTGATGGCTGCCACCCACACGGGGAGGCTTGGACTGAGTTCCTGGATCCTGGGAGGGAATGAACCAGTGTCTAGAAAGTATCTCTCTCTGCCTCAATTAAAATTAAAACATCTTTAAAAGCTCATGGAAAATGCATGCTGTGAAAAAAACTGCATACATTTCAAAAATTTTCCTAGCACCAAAATAAACCTGCACTCTTTTAATGTCATCTTCCTTGAGCTTTACTGAAGTTCCCGTGTACAGCCACAGGCTGGCCCCTGGACAGCACCCAGAAAGACGACACTGTCCTGGACCTTAGCTGCAACGCAGGTGACCTTTGGCCTTGCCGACGGCACCCCAGCGGCAGACTCGGGCACTGAGGCTCGTGTATGCCCAGAGCTCCTGGTCTGTGCTCTTGTTGCTTGGCCATGACTTCCCAACAGCTGTGTGGGCTGGGGAAGCTGGCAGCTTCACTCCCTGGGTCTAGGACCCTGGCTGGGGGGCTAAGGATACCTGGATATTCTCTGTTCCCAATGGTGTTGGCCTCTGAGCTCAAGGAAGAGCTCCAAATCTTTCCTTCTCCCTGGAATGCACTGGTTCCGCCCACCATGACCCTTTGAGAATGCAGGGACCTTACCTGATATCCTGTATAGAAACCAAGGGAAATCAGGGATGCCCCTGAGTTCAGACAACAAGGCGCGTGTGTGTGGCGGGGGACTGGGGTAGGCAGGGAGACCTGGGCTTGAGTCCCAGCTTTGTCTCTTAGAAACTGGGTGACACTGGACCAACAGCAGCCCCTCTGTGGCTCGGTTTTCTGTAGAATGGGAAGCCACATGTCTTAACTGCATTTATCAGTGCTCCTCTGGCACTTGGCAGACTATAGCTGAGTCAGTTGTCTGTGAAGCGGAGTGCTCATGATTATTACGGCCACGGTCACGGTCAGGATCATCGTGGGCTGGCAGGTGCCAGCTGAGCTGTGCCTCCCTGCCTGACGGCCCATACTTTGTTTAGCACCATTCCAGGAGATCTCACTTCTTGCTGTCAGGGAGTGGATCAGGATGGGGATATGGAGATTTCCCCTGCCTCTGGAAAGCCTCCAAATTCTCACTCCCGCTCGCTCTCATCTCCAGTCCACAGCTTGGGTCCTGCCTCCCCTGGCTGCACTAACCAGGTAATTCCTAGCACACCTGAGGGGGCTTCTGGGAACTCTGCGGGGCTGCCAGCCTGGCTCTGCTCAATAGTGGCTGAAGCCCCTGTGGCTTCTGGAACTCAGCAGGTCACCTGCGCTCCAGCTTCCCTCCCCTGCAGGCCCCAGGCTCCTGCTGCACCTGCTAATGAGACCAGAAACTCAGGCCAGAACGCAGGAAGTGAGAGTGTTAAGGATTTCCTAACAGGAAAAATGAATCAGACTTGGGGTTATCAGGTCCTGTGTGGCCCAGAATGGCCAGCCAAGACCAAGGGGAACTGTGCTCAATTCTGCATGTCACCTGCGTCACATATGACAGACAGCTGACCTTGGGATACAGCCTTGTTGTTACACTGTATAGCTGGGTGAATTACAGCAGCTGCTGTGCCTTAACACGAGCCATGTGCCCAGTACACTGCTCACGGCAATATGGAAGTCTCCACCCTGCTCTGACCCCACTGTGAGGGCTGTCATCCTCATGAGTTGAAAAACCTGGGGTCTCACACAGGCACATGTACATCTGAGCGGAGCTCCAGGCCCTGCCCTGCCCAGGCCCTTGCGCTGAGCCCACACACAGTCTCTGGCACACGGGTGAGACCTGGTGCCCTATGTTCCCCTACAGTGCTATGGGCATGCGTGGGCTGAGCATCCTCTGGGGGCTGGCACTGGTCTGCCTCTGCTCAGGAGCCCCCCACAGCCCTGGGCAGGCAGGCAGGCTACGCCATCATCCGTGAGTAACCAGAGCCAAAGTCACCAGGGAGGAGAAGCGACTTTCCCTGGTGGCCGGAGCCCCTGTCCTCAGCCACAGGAGACTCCACCCCTTCAGGACACGCCCAGCGCCGTGTCTGCTTCACTGTCCCTGTGGCATCTGCCCCGCCCTCATGCACTGTGTACCTTTTCCCTTTCCCCACAAGGAGCCGCCTTCCCCCATCGGCCTCACCACTTTCCCCACATCTGGGATCTGATGGTCACAATTGCCATTTTACACTTTCCAGCTCTTGAAGAAGAAGGTAACACAGTAACAGTGCCTTCCCTAGTATGCCCCCTGTCGCTCCCCCTCTTCGTGGAGGAACGACACAGGACCCTGCGCTGTTCTTTCGTCTGCTCGGCCCTCCCCGGGTTTGCTGCTGGTTCTTCCCGGGTTGGCTACTATCCCTTCCACCTCCGTGGAAGGGCAGTTCCCCCTGGCCACATTCCCCACTTCCGCAGGGGAGCGGCACACCGCCGGCCGGTTCTCTGGGGGGCTGCACAGGTGTTCCTTCAGCTAGATGTTCCCCATAGATGTTCCCCATAGATGTTCCCGGTGCATGCCGTCTCTCTCCTCCTTTATAGTCCTCCTCCGCCAATCCCAACTCGGCTGCCCACACGCCAAGTACGCTGCTCTCCTCCAATCAGTAGCAAGTCCTACAGTTTATTGGTTGAACTGGAGGCAGCTGTGCGGAAGCTGTTTACTTCTCTCCCAGCGCCATATTGTGGGAGAGCAGATGCATAGAATAAGTCTTAATTCCAGTAACTCAGTCCAGTCCGGATTGCTCCCCACAGATCCCCCTTTCTTTTTATTTTTGGCGTTGATACGCGCCTGTCTTCGGTGTCCCGCAGCACACACTCTGCTCTACTTGCTAGAGTTGCACAGGCTCTACAAGTCCTATCAATCAGGCAAACCGAATCCGGGTCCTCTCATTGCCATGTTGTGAGGAGGTTTTTAGGCGCTGATGCGTGCCTGTGTTCGGTGACCTGCGGCTCACACTCTGGTCGAGCCGCCTGCTGGCGCTTACCGCCTTAATTAGGCAGACCGAATCCAAGCCTCCTAATTGTTGTATTGTGGGGGAAGCCTTACTGATGTTAATTCGTGCCTGTCTTCGGTGACCTGCGGCGCATAAGCTGCTAGCCGCCGCAGGTGCTCATCGTGCTCATCGCCTCACTTAATCAGGCAGACCGAATCCAAGCTCTCACATTGCAGTATTGTAGGGAGGCCTTTCTATTTCTCTATTTCTCTATCTCCGGGCATTCCTATTTCTCCCATTTTACTTCTATCTTCCAGCATTCCTATTTCTCTCATCTTACTTCTAAACTTCTGTTTCTCTTATCCCCGCAGCTTCCCGCTGCCCGCCCCGAGGCTACTTCTCGGCGGCTTCCCAGCTGAGCCGCTTCAGCCCGCGCCTCTCTCATCTGCGCAGCTTCCCGGCTTTGCGCGGCTTGGCTTCCCGCGCTCCGTGGTCTCCACGCCCTTCGCGTCTGCACCACGGCCTCGCGCCAGCCCCGTTCCCTATCTATTCACGCCCCGTGCTCTCTCTGCACGCGGCGGCTTCCGCGAGTAACACAGCGTAGCTTACGTGTCCGCCACTAGCATTCAATCTAAGTTCCCCGGGCTAGCCTGGCGAATTCAACCCAGCATACGTCTCCGCCCCACGGTTTGGCTTCCCGTCCTATGCTCCCCGGGCTAATCAGACGGATCCCAATCTGGCTTACGTTTCAGCTTCTGGTTTTAACTTTTCGCCCCCTATTCCCGGGCTAACTTGAGAATCCCAAAGTGGCTTTCGTATCCGCCTCGGCCTGCACTCGCGGCTTCATTTTCCCTAACATTTTTCTCTACCCGGTATATTTCCCCCAGCTTTCCTCCAACAATATTCCTCCCTCATTTCTCCTGGCCTCTCCCCACAGTCCGCGTCCGAGTCTGTTTGTTCTAGCTTTCACTTTCGCTTTCGACCTTAGAGATTCCTCCCAGCTTCCCCCCGTAGTCCGTATCCGAGTCTATGCCTAGGCTTTCAATAGCTTCTTCCGGCTCCTTTTTCGTCCGGCTTTTCCCTAGGCTGTTTGCTAGTCTCTCTCTCCGGTAATTTCCCAGTTCTTCCTGTTTCTTCCCTCTTAAGTTTGCTATCCGACCTAGGTTTCCTAATCCGAGTCATTTCTTCCCTCCTAAGTTTCCTATCCGTCCTAGGTTTCCTATCCGAGTCACGGCACCATTATGTCGCTCCCCCTCTTCGTGGAGGAGCAACACTAAACCTTGCCTAGGCTTCATATCCGAGTCACGGCACCATTATGTCGCTCCCCCTCTTCGTGGAGGAACGACACAGGACCCTGCGCTGTTCTTTCGTCTGCTCGGCCCTCCCCGGGTTTGCTGCTGGTTCTTCCCGGGTTGGCTACTATCCCTTCCACCTCCGTGGAAGGGCAGTTCCCCCTGGCCACATTCCCCACTTCCGCAGGGGAGCGGCACACCGCCGGCCGGTTCTCTGGGGGGCTGCACAGGTGTTCCTTCAGCTAGATGTTCCCCATAGATGTTCCCCATAGATGTTCCCGGTGCATGCCGTCTCTCTCCTCCTTTATAGTCCTCCTCCGCCAATCCCAACTCGGCTGCCCACACGCCAAGTACGCTGCTCTCCTCCAATCAGTAGCAAGTCCTACAGTTTATTGGTTGAACTGGAGGCAGCTGTGCGGAAGCTGTTTACTTCTCTCCCAGCGCCATATTGTGGGAGAGCAGATGCATAGAATAAGTCTTAATTCCAGTAACTCAGTCCAGTCCGGATTGCTCCCCACACCCCTTCCTCCCCTGCAGTCCCAGGAGTGAGGCTGAGAACCCAGCTCCAGGGGACAGGATCAAGGCCGCCAGCCCCTCCTGACCTGGTGGCCACTGGGGCTCAGGGCCGCGTCCCCTCTTCAGGTATCACGGCACTCCCAGTCCCGAGGCTGCGGCCGAGAATTCCCACCCGAGACGCTGGTGACTCGGAGTGGGGCTGCGTTCCCACAAATCCACGGGTAAGCCGCAGAGCCACACCTGACATGACTTAGCAACACAGCCCAAGGCAGAGCGTTCGTTGTGTCCCCCGATGGTCACAGGGCCAACCACAGCTGTGGCTGCTGGATCCTGAGGCAAGGTGCCAACCCCCGGGACAGAGATCCAAACCCCAAATCTGACCCATGCCCTGAATGCATAAAGCTTGTATGCCATGGAGAAGGCAAAAACAAAACAAAGCATTCATAGTCAAACTAGGCTAAGCTGGGGACTGTCGGCAATTAAGATTTTGAAAGATAGACCTATAAGAGGTAGCAAAATTATTCCCTGGGCTTCACGTTCCTCTGTGGGGCTGAGTCCGCCTGGACTTCCTGGGATTCTCTTTTCCCCCCGCCACACGTGCAGCCTGGACCAGAGGCCAGGTCACACAGGCTCCCAGAGGGGCCCCCCCAGCACTCAACCACCCTAGACTCATGCATGCACCTGCAGATCACTCACCCAGTTCTCCCAGGTTCAAGACCACAACCCAGGGCTCGGTTTATGGAATCTACTCACAGACAGAACCTCAAACTTTTTTTTTTTATCTTTTCATGCTTCCATTCCATGAAGTTTCTGAAGTATCCTCCTATCAAATTCACATGATACAACCAGGACAGGTGGTCTGCAAGGAGTGTAGACACCCAGGACTGAAAGTGGCTTAAGCTTGGCTCAGCCCCAGGCCCCATGCTGCACAACGAGCAGCCCTGGATGACAGAGCACTAACTGCTAACTGGCCATGAATATGGAAGAACAAGGATACCTCTACACTGAGGGTGACTCAGTAGACTGGCGGACAGCCAGAGAGCGGGAGCATCCCAGTGTCACCAGCTCACCAGTATTTACAAATGCACCCAAAATGATTCAGTAGGGCTCTTATTATTACAGAATTCACTTCAGATGGCTTCATTGTGAAGCCAAATTTCATTCTAGCCTCCTGGTGATGAACTCCCTGTCTCTAAAGCGCGATACAGGTCAGGAAGAGCAGCCCTATGGCTCCAAGCGTGGACATGGGACAGTTCTACCCGAGTCGCTTTGCTTTGTGGACTCTGTGTGGCATATGGAGGCTGGACCAGGGACCGGCTTTCCTGGTCTGGGCCTGGCAGCCTTGGGTCTACTCTGCTTCCCAGAGCCCTCTGGAAGAAAAACCTACTCTACTCGGTCTTTAGCAAGCACAAGATGTGATCTCGCCATTGCCTAGGAGATGTTCCCATTTGACAGATGGCAAAACTGATGCAATGGGCGGAACTGGTCGCTCACTCAGCTGTTGGCTCCCCTTCCTGTCCCCACTGACTGAGACCCTCGCCTAGGGAAGCTCTGAGCCAGGCCTAATGACAGTGCCTGGGTAAAGAACCCCGGCTCCTGCTTAGCAGCAAAGGAAGCTGGGCCATTCCCAAGTCCCACTGGGGTCCTGTCCCCAGAACGTAGCTTCTTAAGTCTGCTGCTTCAGACTTCGGAGGGGGCCGCCTCGGAACCTGGTCTTCCTGTGAAAAGGATGGGAGAGAACAGCAGGCCCTCTTCCCTCCCCGGGAGCGCTTCCCTGCTGGGGAGAGGCCAGAGGCTCACCTCTCTCTCCCACACTTGAGGATGACAGCCACAGGTGGGACCAGCCAGCTCAGACCACCGTGCACAGGTGACCCCCGTCGGCCAGCAGCTCGAAGGGGACGAGCTCTGGATTGAATGTGTTCCTGCAGGCCCCGCTGCTGGGAGCTTCGCCCTCATGTGCAGATTAACACTGCTACTGTGGGAGGGGGCCACCCGCCTCGAGAGTGGGCTGTGACAAAAGTGAGTCTTGGCCCCTTTGGGCTCTTGCCCACTCTTGCCCTTCTGCCTTCTGCCAGGACATGACAGCCTTGAGGCCCCAGGCCGTGCCAGCATCGTTCCCAGCCTTCTGACCCATGAGCCAAATAAACTTTGCTCCCTTAGACGTTTCGCTGTCTGTGGTACTCTGGGTGTGGAGCCAGAGTGCAGGGCAGAAAAGCCCCAAACTCCAGCTCCACTCCTTTTCTTAAACACCCTCCTCACGGCTGGGACAGCACAAGCAGTACACTGAGTATTCAGATCTGGGAGTGTAGTGTCCTTTTCTAGGCCAGTCTCTTGGAAGAGAAGCCTCATCAGAGCTATTTGGGTATGGTGAGGTGTGGGGAGAGACCAGAGAATCAAGCAACATATGGACTAGTCTGGGTCAGATGAAAATTGGGAGAGTAGATTTAGCATTGGTGGGACAAGAATTTGAGGCCAGAGGCACTGGCACTTGGGAATCTTTGAACTGTGTAGGCTAAACTCAGAATGCTGGGGCCAGTGCTGTGGCGTAGTGGGTAAAGCCTCGCCTACAGTGCTGGCATCCCATATGGGCACTGGTTTGAGTCTTGGCTGCTTCGCTTCTGATCCAGCCCTCTGCTATGGCCTGGGAAAGCAGTAGAAGATGGCCCAAGTCCTTGGGCCCCTGCACCCACGTGGGAGACCCAGGAGAAGCTCCTGGCCCCTGGCTTTGGATCGGCACAGCTCCAGCCATTGTGGCCATCTGGGAAGTGAACCAGCAGATGGCAGACTCTCTCTGTCTCTCTTCCTCTCTGTGTAACTCCAGCTTTTAAATAAACAAATAAATCTTTAAAAAAAATGCTGATGCAAAAAAAAAAATAAATAACAAAAACAAAAAAACAACACAGTGCATCCTAAAAGTCATGCAAGCACAAGTTATATAAGTCAAGGTGAGGCTGACCAGGCTGGGCAGGCATTTAGCATAATGGTTAAGGCACCAGTTACAAGGCCTGTATCCTACATCAGCGTACCTGAATTCAAGTCCTGACTCCACTCCTAATTCTGGCTTCCTGCCAGTACAGACCCTGGAAAGCAGTGGCAACAGTCCAAGTGATTGGGTCCCTGCCATCCATGTGGGAGACATGGATTGAGTTCCTGGCTCCCAGCTTTAACTCCAGCCTAGCACTGGCTGTCTTGGGGCATTTAGGGAGCAAACCAGCAGATGGAACACATCTTCTCAATTAAAAATAACAAACAAGAAAGAACACAAGGAACACCCAAGGGTGCCACCCACCTGCCCTGCAAGCACCCGGGAGAGTGAGGCCTGGCCCCCTGTGATGCACCACCTGCCCAAAAAGTCAGGAAGAAAATTCAAAAGGGAAAGGGCCACCGAGGCAGAAAGTGGCACCTAGAATTTGTTGTGGGCATCTGTGCCAGCTCCTTCTCCCCGTTTCTCATAGATTTCCGATTCCAGGGTGGAAGATGACCACCTGCCTCCTGCACTGCTCCAGCTCTGCTGGGGGCCACCAGGGGCCCAAGAGGTGGGTCCATGCACCCCTGTGGGTCTGTGCCCACCTCTCCTCCCAGCATCCTTGGCCCAATGTCAGCACACGGAACACCTCCCCTAGTCTGCCCTTCTCACATCTTTCCCCTAAAGCCCTGGAACCAAGAACTGACACGGTGTGGCTCTCAGCCCAGGTCTGGTGCAGAAGGTCAGCTGGTGTCCACAGAGGCTGAGCCGTGGCCATGGCCCGCCCACACCCAAGCCACTTACTTGAGCACGTCCTTGTTCTTGTTGAGGTGCTGGAAGAAGGATGGCTCGCAGATGAGCTGGTTCTCCTGGCACACTTGCTTGCAGGACTGCCCGGGCTCAGCTAGCTTCACCTGCAGTGCACTGAGGGGCGGCCACATCACTTGCCCGTGACAGAAGTCCTGGAATGACAACGAAGCCATCAGCCAAGGGACCAAGGGTTCCACAGCAGCTCCCCAGCCCTGCCAAGCAACCCTGACCATGGGGGTCACCCACTAGGAGACAGCAGGAAAGGAGAGGTGTGGAGAGCCATAGACTTGGGTTGGGCATGCCCGTGGGCCAGGTCTTGTTCTCTAACCACCACACTACTCATCCCCCACCTAGGACCTGAGGATGGCAGGTAATACCTGTAACTGCACACAGCACCACGCCTGTACCTAAAGCATGCCTACTCTTCACCACCACCACCATCACGATCATCAGTGACGTCAGACGGTCCCTGACCGCCTCTGCCCTGGACGATCAGGCTTCCCTCCACCTGCTGAGCTGTGTCTGATTCTAAAGGCACTGTAATGTCTCTCTGCTTTGGCAGTCACCTGCTACGACACTGTTGCACGAGTGCTAGTTTATCTCAAGGGAAGGTGCTGATGCTGTGAGATGCCGTCTCTGATACTGCTTACCACGGTGCCATATCCTTGGGAGAGAGATCCACCGGGAGAGAAATGGTCTGAGCGGGGCGTGAGAGGAGCAGCACGAACACACAGCCCCTATACGGGTGTGTGGAGTGCTCAGCATGGGGCAGGGCCAAGCACTCTCAGGATCTAGAAGGAGGAGGACCCGGGTGGGTTAAGGCTCAGAGGGCCAGGAAGCAGCAGTGTGGACTCTGTCAGATGGGGTGCCCAGCTCTCATTCCAGCTGTGCTCAGCACAGCCCTGAGAAGGCACCAGCGACAGTAACGCCCGGACAACCTGGCAGCCGGAACACACTCTGCCAGTGCATGGCTGATAGAAGCCTGGCGGGTTCTTCCACATCCCTGGGTGCCCTGCCCACCAAGGTATGGGGGACCTGAGCAGACATCCTTGTCTGTTGAACTCCACCTCAGGAGCTCCAGGGGGAGCTGGGTTCTGAATGCCAGAGGGGAAATCATGTGCGAGGAGAGCTACCCGGCACGGCAGAATTGTCAGAGGAGAACCAATGACTCAGAACAATCTCATGGCGTCTTTAAGGCCATAATGGCCAAGGAGTACTAGTATCCCACAGCCCTGTGTGCACACTTTAGTTGACGGTCATGCATGCAGCAGTCAATGAAGACCTGGCAGAGAAGAGCCCGCAGGCTCCAGACACGAAGGAACAGTGCGGAAATGGCAGTGCCCGTCATGCTCACCTCCCACTTATGTGAGTGTACACCGTGTATGTGTACTGAGGACGTGCACTGTGCTCCAACTGTGAGAATTACTACGTGTTAAGCCAAACTCACAATACATTTGGATGCAGAGGCCAGCTCTGTGGCATAGCAGGTTAAGCCATTGCCTGCAATGCTGGAATCCCATTTGGGTACTGTTCAAGTCTTGGCTGCTCCACTTCTGATCCAGCTCTTTGCTGGTGGCCTGGGAAAGCAGCGGAGATGGCCCAACAGCTTGGGCCTCTGCATCCATGTGGGAGGCCTGGAGGAAGCTCCTAGCTCCTGGCTTTGGCCTGGCCCAGCTCTAGCTGTTGCAGCCATTTGGACAGTAAACCAGCAGATGGTTCTGTCTATCTCTCTGTAACTCTGCCTTTCGAGTAAATAAAACTTTTTTTAAAAAGAAAAAAATATATAAAAAGACAAATGACACCAAAAAAGAGATAGGTGTCCCTGTGCTAACGTGGAACCACCTCTCAGAAATGCTGCAAAGTGAAAGCCTTGGGCAGAGGGGGGAGCACGTGTGTCCCCTCTGTGGCCTGGGAAAAGGGGTAGACACAAGACCCACGGGCACGCTCAAGCACTGCTCCCAGGACACCTGTGGTCAGCGTGGCTGCCTCGGAGAGAAGCCACACAGAGCAACAGGCTCTCGGGGTGCTGAGGTGACTTCCTTCGCCACGTGTGACCTTCTAGAACATTCTCTGCTTCCTCATGTGTCTTCTGGCAGCTCTGTGCGGTGCAGCTGGGGGTGAATCACCCCAGGGCCGGGAGTGCTGGCACCAGGACACACAGGAAATGTCTGGCGCCCCACCCCTGTTTGTCATGTGGAGGGGCAGGCAGGGCCTCACCCTGCCCAGGGAGGCCCATAGGCGCCAGGTGGGAGCAGCACAGGGAACACAGGCTGGCCGAGCTGCCTCCCAGAGGGAGGGCCTCCCATCCTGCTTGCAGATTTTTAAATGTTGCATTTGTGTTACTTTTAATGAGCCAAAGCCAACAAAAAATGAGCAAGGCAAGGCTTCCCTCCCCTCAGGCTCTGCAGGAGGGCTGGCCCTGGGGGCCAGTATCCACCCCTAGGTTCCCTAACCAGCTCTGTGAACCTCTGAGCAGTAAAGTCACATCCTGCCCCCACTCTTCAGCAGGAAAGTGGACCTGTGCTGAAAGTGGACCTGTTGCTGCTGATCGTGGGCAAGGCGCCTGCCTCTTCCCGCCTGTCCCCACCTCCTCAGTGAAGGAGGGACTGCCGTTCCCTGCCCAGCAAGGCCATGGCAGGCCGTGAGCACCTGCTGCCAGCTTCTACTGGGGGCTCAGGCAAGCTTGCTGCCATCCTCCACACCGGAGGCGTCTGGGACGAGGGGACCTGGCCACTTGAGCCGCAACGAGTGGCAGTGAACAAGCAGAAATACTTTACTGCAGGAAGCTGAGAACTGGGATTCCTGCAGCTAAAGACAGTGTGTCACGAGGGTCTACGAATTCTAGATGACAGGAAAGCAGGGGATCACTCAGGGATATCAGGACGCAGCCCTGTCTTCTGAAAGAGAACCATGGGGTCAATGGTCAAGTGTCCTAGGACCCACGCAGTCCTGGGCGCCACCAGAGACACAGCCCTGGGCAGGGAGGCCCTCCTCTGCCACCTTCTGGTCATGAGGATGCAGAACACAGAATGTGTCTTTGCTAAGCCTGGGGTGGGACAGCCATGTACAGCTGGGTACCAAGGGAGACAGCAGACTGCACACAGCTGTGGTACCCGGAGTATGAACGTACGTTCTTACGTGACAGCTTAGCGAAACCCAGTGGCCGGCCTTAGACAGGCTACTGATCCTGACATCACTGGATAGCAAGAATGAAAGCACACTGGAGTTATTGGTGAGCAGAGCTGAGCCGGTACACAGGCTTTTGGAAAAGATAAGGAGGTTCTGTTGCTGTCTGATGCATAACTTTCCTTACAACTCTTTAGGAGCAAATGCATGACTTCTATAGACACAGATAGGAAATCCAACGTATACTGAAGCCTACTGGGCAACTGCTTGGGACAGGTGAACAAATCCAGCCCAGAGCAACTGTATCAGAGGAAGCCAAATCATAATTTCTCTGATTCTTGGATTTAGCTTGGCCCAACCCTGGCTCCAGCTAGGAAAATGGAAAACCCATCAAGGCTGAAATGTCAGAGTCTGGCTTTTAAGTCTCCTAAGAAAGCAGTGGAATGTCTCTTCTTATGACACCTACAAATCGTTAGAGCCATGAGAAGTAACTCCAGACCTGTTGAGTTTGCAGACTTGAGACTCCGAAGAAACTGTTCCCTACTCACTCTCAGCTCCCCGCGGGACAGGGAACAGTACTAAGAGGGCAAGACTGAAGCTAGGAACAAGATCCTGCTCTGTTTAACAAGGAGGCGTTGTGGTACAGGAAAGCACTGCCAGAGGACCGGATCCGAAGCCTAGCCTGGCCACCGTGGGGCTCTGAGCGTGCTCTGTGGTCTGGTCTGGTCTCCAGAGAGCGATGCCAGCAGACTGTGAGCACGGAGCTGAGCAGAAGGCTGGCAAATGGCAGGCACCCCACAAACTTTCCCTTCCCTCCTCGGGCCCCTCTCTGGGGGGGTGCCTGTGGCCACGCCGCCCTGGCACTCCACCGATGGCACGGGTAGAAACGGAGACAGCCCCGGATGAAGGAAGCATCACGCACTGGACCTAGGCTGGACAGGACGGCGCCACAGGTCTGGGCGTAGAAAGGCTTTGAAGCTGTCCTGTGCAACTGCTGCGCCAGGTTTGCCTGCTTCTTAGTAAACCAGAACAGCCAGCCTTCTTGACTGAGGTCCCCTCCAAGAGGCACACTTAGCTCCATGCTGCACGGGAGCACACGGGCTCCGGTCACCCTTGCTGGTGCTCGCTGGGTGGATGGATGGGAACCCTGGCGGTAGTCTGTTTTGGGGACCAGGACTAGTCAAAGTAGCAGCAGGACCTTCTGAACGGTCCCTTCCATCTGGAAAGCCTGGCCATGAACAAAGGGGCCCTGAAGGTGTCATCGGTAGGCAGGGCAGGAAGGGAGGGAGGAGGGCGCTGGGGGCCTGGGCGCAGACCCTGGCTCCCAGCTGTGGGACCTCATAGACGTTTCTCAAGCTCTCTGATGGCTCTCAGGGGGCCTGGGGACAATCATACCATCTATCCTTCATGCCTTAGGTCATTCTTAAGATAAAATGAAGTGAATGACAAGAAGGCGCCCTGAGATGTCGCAGACAACATGCTAAGGCTGTCCAGGGTTCTCAGGGTGTTAAAACCTGAGAAGACTAGATTACAGAGAGCCCTCTCTGGGCCCAGCTCCCAGAGCACCCCAGGAACGGGAGCCCTGGCTGTTAGCCTCTTTCCCCTGCAGGTGCGCGCCTCACTGGTTACCCACAGATGACTGTGGTCTTGCATTTCATTCCAGCACGGCGTGGGCTAGCACGGCATTGCCAACCTGCCTTATCTGCTCTCTGTAAGCATGGATCCACCCATCCACCATCCACCCAAAACACAGTTGCTAAGAAGTAGGAAAGCCCAAAGGTTCTGAGCTCAGACTGCCTGGGTTTGAATCTCAGCTCCGCCATTTATTATCTGAGTCATTTCAGCTGGTGACATCATCTTTCTTGGCCTCAATTTCCTCATCTGTAAAATGAAGAAAGTATCCGCCTCCACCCCTCAAGGCTGCAGAAGAAACGAAATGGGTTACAACGTGCAAAGTGCTCAGAAAAGTGCCCACAGAGGTAACAGCATCCACCTGCTGGCTGTCACCGTTCTGAAACGCGGGAGG